ACACCCACTACCACCAATCACCTGATTGTTTTGGTATCGGTCGTTTCTTCTCACCAGACACGTGGAGGCTAACAATGAAATTATGTCCAACATAAGAGAGCTTCTCTGACTTCCTATGCTGTGGCCAATAACCAGAATCTGCCTTTAAGAAGAGATACAGTGACTGAGAGACTATTCAAGTAATGTCTTACTGAATAAGTGGATGCAGTGAGGCCCCACTGTTGCAATATGTCTTCAATGGTGGAGACAAAACTAAAGAATGTTTGATAAATTATATAAAGGAGCTGATATTTACCTTTCCCACGGGGAGGCATTAGTAAAATCTGTTATCTCAAAGAGTTCATCATCAGTTTCATCAGACATTTTGTATTCTAATAATACGAATTACAAAATTATTAAAATGAAATTTTTAGGTGTGTTCTGGGGACTATGGCTGCTAGATCCGAGGTAGTCTCGCGTGGCCAGACCCGCCCTCCTTGCCTCCGGGATGGGTCTGGTAGACTGACCTTCACCAAGTTGTTCAAAGCCCCACCGTCGGCTTGGTGGGTGAAGACTACGTCATCTCATTAATGCTATGAATTTAAATTTATTATTACCTTAATTAAAATTTATAGGCGTGGTATAAGGCGTGGCAATAAGATGGCCGATAATCTGCAACAGCTTATGGACAATGTTCAAGAACATTTTGGAGTGATTCTAAAAGATAAGCAGCGTGAAGCTATGGTTACTTTTATGAGTGGTTATGATGTGTTTGTTGTTCTGCCGACTGGATACGGGAAGTCTATAATATATGGGTTTTTACCTTATGCTTTTGATCTTTATAAAGGTAAAGCTGTCTACCATTGATATAGATCTATATTACTTTACTGTTTTAGGACAAGAAGGTAGCATAGTGATATGTGTTAGTCCTCTTGTTTCATTAATGATGGACCAGAAGGCTAGATTTACTCCAAAGGGTGTTGTTGCAGAGTTTGTGGGAGAAGAGCAGACTGATCAGAACTGTATAAGATCTGTCATCTCTGGTTCTGCTCAGTTAGTGTATATAAGTCCGGAGAGTCTCATTTGCAATCAGATTTATCGAAACATGATATTGTCACCCATTTATAAGGAAAAACTAGTGGCATTTGTTATTGACGAAGCACATTGTGTGAAGTCATGGTAAATTTATTATTTAATAATTTATGTGTGCACTTTCATTTTACTTTCATTTATAGGGGAGATAAATTTCGTTTGGCATACTCACAGCTGGGAGACATTCGAAGTTTGCTACCTACAAATACAAATGTGATGGCTCTAACTGCCACTGCTACACACGAAACTTATAAGGTTGTATGCCAAAGACTATCATTGTTGAACCAGAAATTAATAGGATGTCAACCAAACCGTTCCAACATTAAATACGAAGTTAGACCTTTGGAGGATGTTGAGACTTTTTGTGGTAACATTGCTGGTGAGCTTAAGATTCAGGGTTTGGAATATCCTCGGACAGTGATTTTTGTTCAACGCTACTCCGACTGCTCCTTATTATTTCATACACTTAGAAGGAAGTTAGGATCTAATCTCACTTTTCCACCAGACTACCCTATGCTTCCACAATTCACAGTTATTGACATGTATACACGGGCATCAACGATAAGCAAGAAAGAACAGGTGTTATCAGCATTTTGTACTCCTAATGGCGTTCTTCGTGTCGTTATTGCCACAACAGCGTTTGGAATGGGGGTAGATTGTTCCGACATACATCACATTATTCACTGGGGTTCAACATCTACTATAGAACAATACGTTCAAGAAACGGGGAGAGCTGGACGTGATGGTCACCTGTCAAGGGCCATTTTGTATTATGGAAAGCCTGGGAGATTTGTGCATCAAGAAATGAAGGATTATGGTAACAATCACAAAGAATGTCGCAGAAGAATGTTAATTCAGAACTTTATGTTTTGTGATTCAAGTATGTTTGTTGAGGACAAAGATCATTGTTGTGATATTTGTAGTTTGAATTTGTAATAATATTGTATAGATCTACATAACAAGTGAATTTTAAGAATTATTATTGAAACACAAATAGCAAAAAGTACAACAAACAAAATAAATGAGTGTATCTATACACGAAGGGGAAGAACTTAAATAAAACTAGGAACAATTCTTTCTATGATCCAATCTTGAATTGATTCCCTGTCAACTGAGCCAAGTACAGACTCTGAATTGGTTCTAGATATGAAAGCATGCCT